CTGCACTTGTGTGTTCGGAAGTCCTTACTTGCTAATTTTGCCAGCCTGGATATTTTCCCTTGTTTAAAAACAAAAAGCAAAAACACAAAAAAGCTCCTTGTCAACTTGATAAAGAAACATTTGTGGTGATCTTGCTGCTTTAATTTGCATTTATTTGATTATTCATGTGGTTGAAAAATTTTATATGCTTATCACTTAATTGTATGCCTTCCTGAATTAACTCCTGGTGTTACTTGCTAGCTTTCTATTTGGATATTGGTCTTTTTCTCCTCAATGTGTAAGATATCTGACATTCTCCTCTTTATCCACAATGGGTAACATAGCAGGTGATAATAGTGGGCATAAAATAAAGTTTCACTGCAAAGAATGAATCTCTTCACAGGTAAGATAACACACCCCACTGAGCAAATATGTTTCCATCCTGTTCTTTTCCTCTTCATTTTGTACCTGGCAGTTTGACATGCAAAATTTTTCTTTTTCTGTAATTGCATCATCTGCTTGATGGTCTCTGTCTTCAGGTGGGAAAGGCTCAAGATGATAATTATTTGCTAGATCTAGATTCTTTTGAAATGTCTGCATTTTACTAGAAATATTTAATTTAGGGCTGGGGATTTAGCTTAGTGGTTCTGGTGACTGCCTCGCAAGCACAAGGACCTGAGTTCGATCCCCAGTACCAAAAAAGGAGAAATATTTAATTTAAATATATTTTAACTTCATGATAGGAAATTAGAAACCTAACTTTTTCATCTGGCTACTTAATTAGTTGACCTAACACAAGGGTTAAACATGCTTTCTGTTCCACATGGACCAGAGAGGGTGCCTCACCACACGGGTGTGTGAGTATTAACACACTCACTGTGTGCAAACACAGGTGACATTTAAGTTTTCTGTTGCATCACCTTTCTGTAGGTGCCTGCAAAGCCTCATATTCTTTTAATTATTGATATATAAAATGGGCTTTAATGTGTGATAGGGCAAGGCCCTCTCATTTTTCAAAATTAAGGACTCTATTTTAGCCCCTTCCCAGGCAAACCGTGTAAAGTTTCCCTAAACATTTTGTTAGTATTTCGATTGGCACTGTGTTAAATTCGTTCATTAATCTGCATCTTTACAATATTAAGTCTTCCCACCTCTTGGCCAGCTGGAAGTACTTTGTCCTTCCTCTGAACTCCCTTAGCACTTTATACCTTCAAAAACATCACTCTCTAAACTATACCCACCCAATTTTTCAACCATGAAACCTGAGCACATTCCCTTCCCTCCTCTCCCCACCTTCACCCCAACCAATCAATCATCAAGTCCCGTCAATGCTACCTCCTAAATTTCACCCATTTCTGCCCGTCCCCACCACCAGCACCCTACTCAAGGCTGCCATCATTTCTGGCCTGGGCCACCACCCTGGCCTCCAACTGACCCCTCTGCCTCCATGCTGGCTTCTAAGCTACTCTTGGCACTGTAGCCAAGATGGTATTTGAAAAGGCAAATCTGACCATGGCAATATTCCCATAGTCCCCCGAGGCACTTGGGCAAGAGATGAGAAAACAGGTGTGGGTGGAACGTGCACCTGCCTCCCTTCCAGCTTCTCCTCCCTTCCCAACTTCTCATTAATTCACCACCTTTGTCCTGCTGATGACCATCAAATGCTTTGCATGCTCTTTTCCACCCCAGAGCCTTTGCGTGTACTGTTTCTTCTGCCTGGACTGCTCTGAGCTCTTCCCATCATCTCAGTGTGAGAAGACTCCGTTCCCCAGCATATATTCCCTATATCTTACGTCACTCCATTTTAGTGCCCAATTCCTTGTTCGAATCAGTCACCATGAGGATGCACTAAGGAGGGTAACAAAAGTAATACTGATTTTTGGATGTAACCTATGACTCACAACCTACCCCCTCTCCATCTCAAATGTACTCCATGCAAGGTACAGCAGCTTGGGAGACGAGGCAGTGAAGCTCTTGGCAGCGTTGTGAGCAGGTCGATGTAACACAGTCTTTTGAAATCATCGCGGCAAGAGTGTTGGCATCAAGGCAATCGCTAAATGCCACAAACACACTTTTCTTTCTAACCACCTTTTCCCTGGAGAGCTGGTTGTTGAAGCTTTACCTGCCCACCCGTTTCCATGCACTGTGTGTCACTTAGCCCCCTCTGCAGCCCTGTGGGACAGGCAGCCCATCTTACAAGAAGGGGAAAAGAACCACTGGGAAGCAAGCCAAGCTGTGAGCCCAGAGTATGAGCGTCCACCTTTCCACCCATCGCTATATTGTAGCATCTAGGAAGATGGCACCCTGCACATCTACCTGATGTGGCCCCAGCATGCCTGGTGCCTAGCACGAAGCTGGGCAGAGTGGCCATGCACGGTACGTACGTTCTCCATGAGAGAGCCCACAGCGTCTCCTCATACAGCAGAGTCACACCCCAACACAATGCCGGTGATTTCACAGTTACACAGGGTCCTCCCTGGCTAGGCACTGTGTGTCCGTGAACTACAGACCACAGCCTCCTGTCTTGTCTGTAAAGCCCTTGCTCTGCTTTCAGATGTCACTGCATTTGCAACTCTTCTATGAAGCCTTCCTCGACTTCCCCACCGTAGTCACCTGCTGCTCAGTGTTCTGACAGCCCTTTTCACATTTGCATCTCTTACGAGACATAACCTAATTGTCATAAACTGTAGGTAACTGGCTTTTCTCCTAGAACTGTAAGCTGCTGGAGTGGACTGATACTAGTTTTGTTCTTTGAGCATAATTTTGAGCACATGTTTGTTCAATACGTATTCAGAGAATTGGATCGAACAGGTCAGAGGTCCAGCCAAAGTGTGGCTGTCTGAAAGTACAGTCAAAAGGGAACCCCTGCTTCAGAGGAAACTTACACACACACACACACACACACACACACACACACACACACACACGTACGCACTGGCTGCAAAGGTCTACAGTCCCATTGAGAGTTGAGGTCATTCTTTATTTCATAGAGTGCTAAGGGTCAGTTGCAACAAGCCAGTTAGTATAATCCCCAACTCCTCACAGGCCAGCCCTGTCATCCGTGTCCAGGAGGGATCTTTGAAGGCCTAGAGAGGCCAGAAGTCCTGTCTGTGAAAGTGTCCCACCCCACCTTCCCTGATCACCTCCTGTTGCCCTCCTGTGCACCAACTCCACTGGTCACACCGGCGTCCTGCCTTGTTGGCTCAAGCTCCCTCCCGCTGCTTGTTCTGTTATCTTGCTGTGCTCTCTGGTGGGGACACTGCCCACGCCCACACGACCAAATGACGGCCCTCCCAGGTGCTGCTGCGGGCAAACAGCCATGGGCCAGTCAGAGAACACAGCCCCAAGGAGGCTTCGGGATGGAGCAGAGGCAGCGTGAAGGAACTGGAGAGGAGGGTGGAGAGACAGGTGGGGGGCGGGATATACTCCTGCGTCTCAGGTCTCTGCTCACTGTGCCCTCCTCAGAGAGGCCTCCCCGATCTCCTTCCTGGACACTAGGAGTGCATCGTTCATTCTTTGCCGTTCGCCTCTCCCTCTAGAATGAGGGCTGCTTATCTCAGGAGAGCAAATGCAAAGGGAAAAATTTAGCTAACTCTACCTAAACATTATCCCTCCCATCTATTTCTAATTGTTCTCTACCCAGACACATACACTTCAACATGAGAAGGCGCTAAACTCAAGTAAGAGTACATTATGTACAACAAAATTGTACTAAAAATGTGACTATGTCTGATATATTCTCTTGGTTACCTATTTCTTCCTCCACGTCCCTTGTTTCCCCTACCCAGGTACCATATCCTACTAGATCTCCATCCATCCATTCTTTCTGTCAACAGCACTTGCTGTTCTTAAGCTAATACCATCACATTACTCTTGTGTGCACAGCAATTCTTGGTGCCTTCCTTTTTTCCTACACAGAAAGTCTAACTGCCCCTATGAGGTTTCTGTTTTCTTCATTTAAAAAGGGGTGGGGGGATTAAAATATACATTAACGTAAAAATTACCATCTTAACCATTTTAAGTGTCTAATGCAGTAATATTGAGTATATTTACATTGTTGCACAATTAAAACTAGAACTATAACTGTTAAAAAATAGGTACTTGTTCCTCCACCGCCCCCCATCCATTGTTCAATTTTCTTCTTCTGTGGGTTTGACTCTTCTAGGTACCAGATGAGGCTTCTGAGCTATTGCACAGGTTCCTTCTCTCTCTCCCTCCCTAACTTGTCTGCAATGATACGGACCAGGTTGTGCCAAGTGCACAGCCAGCTGCTGACCCAACCGCCCGGCCTCCCATACAGGCCCACCTCACCCGCTGCCTATGCACTCTGATTCCCAGAGTCAGGATCCTTTGTCCATTTATGTCCTCCCCACCCATAAATGTAGTCAAATTCCACTTCCTCCCTGACACCTCCCCTGCTCTATCCACACCAAACTCTCTCTTCCTGAAACTCACAGTCCATCCATTGGAAATGCCATGCATTTAAAATTTTCAAATTCTCCAGTTGCCCGATGCAATACACCACTGCCTCTCCCCAAAGTTTCTAAGCTTCCAGTGGCAAAAGGTCCATGTTATATGCATCACCTTCTTCTCCCACCTAGAAAAAGCAGTAGCTACAAAGTAGAAACTAAATAAATACTGTGCTGATAGGTCTTAACTTTCATAAAGTTATAAAATGCTTTGCTCCCACTTTGCAATATAATCGGGGCATTTTCTTGAGTCATTTTCAAGAAAATTCATTTATAGCCAACAACTTTGACTGCTTTTGTCTGACTGCTTTGACAAGAGACTGTCCCCGTGTGTTTCCAGCAGAGCTATTTATTTCTGAAATGAACTGGCCCATCTTCCAGACCAGGGAGAAGTTGATTAAGTAAAATACAAATGTAGAATGGAGTCTGTACTTCCTCAACCAATGTCTATCCTTCAGTCTAAATCTTCCCACAATACTGGAAGACCCCAGAATGTGGGATGAGTATAAAGCAAACAGACTGGGAACTACAGCAAACCATTTTCTCACCTACCTGTGTAAATGAACCTTCCTGGGGCTCCTTTGCAGAACTGTTTGGATTTATACGACAGTGTCACTTCCACCACGCCGGGGATGTGCCGTGGAGGGGTCTGCACTCTGATGGCATGAGGGGTTATTAGCTGAGGAACGAACAGGCAGGGAAATTAAACACCTATTAGACAAGACATCACCAAGGACACCATGCATGGCCTCGTATATTGATTTGGCAATTTCCAAGCCCAATTCAGCACCATGACTTATCTTTTAGTAAGGTGTTTTGTTGCTTCTCTGCTTACAAAAGTAGCATATGTCCAATTCATAAAATTGTGTAGTTACGGAAACATGGAAAGAAAAAAACTCTGCATAACCCAGAGATAGAGATGTTCACATCCAGTGCCTTCCCGGCACATTTCTATCCACGTGTGTCACAGAATTAGATCCTGCATGGATGCTGATGTTCTATTTTTTTCTATCATAGAGCAAATGTAGCCCTTTCCCCAAATTATTACAATTTTTGCAAAACATAATCTTCACTATCTTCTTCCCGACATTCTTCAGTAACCTCTAACTAGACTTTTTCTAATTTTCCACACCTTTCTATAATACTGCAGTCAATACTTGTCTTTTTGAGGAAAGGACGTGTCCCTGCGGTGATTATGACTTCTGTGTCTTCTTATCCTTGGTGGCTGGCCCATAGAAGGGACTCAGCACGGCTGTTCATGCTGCTCACACTTCAGGAACCAGGCACTGGTTTCCTCAGAACAAAGCAATCTTTGGGCTGAAGGAGATCGGGCAGGCAAGTTGCCTTGGCTTACCTCGCTCCAAACCAGCATGGTGCCAAACACCACTTGTAGACCATCGAAGAAGTTGTCGCCGATGATGATGACCATGGCTCCCCCTGTGGTCCACCCTTCACTGGGGCTGATGGCTTTGATGCAGGGGGTGGCTGCAAAGACAGGAAAGGAACAGCCAGTTCCTTACTGGTAGAAATTTGCACTCCTGGAAAGCTGTTGGTCATTCTAATAAGTTCGAGTTGAGTCCTGTTGATTTACCATCCTCCCCTAATTGGCTGTTGATTTTTAACTGGTCATTAAAGCCTAGTGGGTTGAGCATTAGGTATGAAGAAGTGAGACACTTAGCTAATTGTGCAAAGGGTGTTTTCAAAACTCTTGGTTTTCCCCATATTTTTATAAGTTGATCACACTAGAAAAGTATAAATTCCTTTTTTCTCCCCACCTCTGCTCCAAGATGTTAAGATTTACAAGGCCTATTAATGTGCTAGGGAGAGAAGGACAAAGAAAAATCTATCATAATCCAAGTTGTTTTTTGGTTTTTTGGTTTTGGTTTTTTTGTTTTGTTTTGTTTTGTTTTTTTTGTAGCTCTACTGTAATCACTGTCCTAACTTTGTAGAAAGGATTTTCCTCCCTTCTTCCACATGCAGGAGGCCTCTGGACTTTACATCCCAACAGGAACTCAGTATGGTTTTCAGGCCATAACTAAAGTCAATCCATCACTCCATTTCCAAAGCTGACAGGGTCAAAGGTGGAGGAGAACTTTGGCAGGACTCCAAAAACATGAGCCCCCTTTGAACAGCCAGTCAATCACATCCAATCAGTCAAAAGAAACTCGAGGGGCTCCTAGCTCTGAACTCTGGGATTTTCTTCTCCCCTTTCAGTGCCCACTGTGGGAAAATTAACACCACTCCAAATTCTTTACTGATTCAATCATTTTCTTTCAGTTCATTAATTCCTATTTAAAATGATACGAGATATATTTTAAGGGGGAGGTTGGGCTAGGGCCTGTGTATAGCACAACATCACACTCAAATACTAGCCTAATTTGGCCTTCCGTAAGTATAAGGTCTTCCCACACCCTCAAGTCAGAAGAGCAGAAGGAAAACGAACCAGCAAGATGGAATCCAGTCAGGTTTGTCAGTTACGTTCATCGATAGACTTTAATTTTTTGGACAACTTGAAGTTTAACAGTTACCAGTATTTCTAATTACTTTAATGCACTTGGAAAACTACCCAGAGCAGGCCATGATTTCTTCTTGTCCAAGCAAACAAAAAATCAATTAGTGTCAGTTCCATTCTGCACACTGTTTTGTTTTGCCCACAATCTGTTTAAGGGCAGAGCTGACACTTACTCGTACACGTCTGGCACTGTGAGGGTCCTGTTTAACCAAGATGTCACAGGCCTACATCTGCCTGAAATGCCCGCCTCGCAAAAAGAAAAACACAGAGCAGAATGGAAAAGACTGAGAGGTATGGGGGAGCACAGCCTTGGCTGGGAACATGGCACACCGCAGCCAGTGTTTACAACAGCACTTACATACCCACATGGTTTTTGTGTACTTTCTGCCCATGAGCATGGGGACAGACATTTGAAATTGCAGCAGGAAATGTGAGCAGAACTGCACTCAACTACCATGCTCAGCCTGCACAGCCCTACCTTCTGAGGGGTCGAGTCTTCTTGCTCTCCGTCCGTGCTTGGAGTTGTTATGCACAAACATGTTGTCGGAAACAGCCAGCACATGCCCGTCCACATTCACTGTTGTTGACAACACGACCTGCGTGTTTAAACGAAAGGGAGTAGGCACCGGGGTTAGTGTCACAGAAAGTGGTAAACCCACCGGGATTCTCTCTGCCACTCTTGCACCTGACAAGTGGGAGACAGGGCAGAACTAGGGACTGGGTCACATGTTCAGGTGGGCAGTCCAGCAGACTTTCCCCCTCTAGTAATTATAGAGAACTTAATGGCGAAGAGGCAGCCACCCCTTAATCTGTGTCTTGTCATATATTTGTGCTCAAACTCTGCCCCTGTCACCACGTGGGAGAAATTGGCCCTCTGCCTGCTGGTTCCTAAAACCAAGTTTTCCATCAAAGGACTGGACTTGTCATTCCCCAAGGGCCCTCGGGCTGCCGTCCTAGGATGTCGACTGGTCATGCTCAATCTGGGAACTAAAATTCAACCAAGCCCGCTGGAAGGTTGCACTCCAAACTCAGGAGTGGATTCTTGTGTTTTGAATCTCTCCTGACCTCATGCTGGGCATCGGGAGGCTGGGGTGTGCCTGCCCACTAGGGAATGGTGGCAAAGATGATCAAACTAACGAGGAAAAGATAAGGTTCCCAGAATCCAGTGTTACAAACATGGGACATTTAGTGTTTAACTGGAGGACAGGGAGGAGGCGGGTGTGGAGTCCTGGATGAGAAAAGCATTGCAGTCAGAACTGAGTCCAAGTCCTAGGCTGCTGCTTCCTAACATAAAACTGTGGAAAAATTATTGAGCTTTTTCAAATCGCAGATTTTCTTATCTAAAAATATAAACAATGCTCCCATCTCACAGGGCTGAATGAGATAAAATGAGCACAAACTGAGATAATACTTGTCAAGCATTCAGCAGAGTGCTTGGTACATGCCGGTTAGGGTCATTCTGTCCTGTTTGTCTCCCCGCTGTCTTGTCCGACCAGTCAGTAAGACACAGGGGATATTCATACAGTCCAAGCCCCAGAGAAGGTTCTAGAAAGGAGGACAGGGTCCAGGTAGTGGCAGTTACAGGGCACGGCCCCTACCCTCAGAGCGCTTACTTGTTTGCGGAAGAATTGTGCCTAACACTGGAAGAAATCAGCAAACAGAACTATATCAAAACTGAGTTCTGCCATGTGTACTTGTGAGCAGGGTAGAAGGGCATGAGGAAGGAGTTGCAGGGGGCAGAAGTCAGCAAAGGGAGGCAGCCTGAGTTCACCTCCCATGGACGGACCAAACCCCAAAAGAGCAGCCAGCCCAGACGGGAGCCTCCTTCTCAGCCCAGGTCACTTATGCATGCTGATATTGTCTCTTTAAGGAAAAAAAAAATGGTTACATGCACAGGTATGCCTTGGTACAGACCTTTTGAGGAAGGATGCTGAATAGGTTTATAACAAGGAACCATGTTCGGAAAGAGCTCTCCCTGCCTATGCCACAAATGAAATGTGCTGATGTCCTGTCATTGTTCTGCTGCTCCGAATTTAACCGAAGGAGGAGGAGAAGAGACCCAACCCCACCTTAATGAATCCCTGACATCCATCATCCGGCCTCGAGAACTGTCAAACTATTATTGATTTCATTTCATCTCTAGTGCTGTCCTTTCCTCGCCTCCTTTATATAAAGATGGTGATGATCACAGGTTTGGGAGGGTTTTCAGTGTAAAGTTTACATGCACGATTTGTCTGACTCTCATGATGCAGATTGTCATATCCCTCAGAAAGTTATTTTGTGTTCCTTCCTGCAAAGCAACGCTCTTCCCCACCAAAGGTCCCTTCCTCACCCCCACCCAGGGATGGTCCTATGTGGCATCTTTTAACATCTTAAAAATACTTGTAATGCTATAGGTTGGAGAGAATCCCTAAGACCCATGAGTCCACAAATCTCTCCCAGGGCATGATACAGGGTATATGAAATTTTACATGAACATAAGTAGGTTTCAATCATTCCACTCAACAAATATTCATTGAGCTCCTACTACACGTCAGGTATTATGACAGGCCCTGGGGATTCAAAGAACAAACATAAAGGAACCTCAGTTGTCATTCAGAAAATTATTACCCATATAATTGCTCACAATTCAAGGGACGCAGCCTGTCTAGCTCTGGGTCTGTTTTCAATTGTGCCCATGTTCACATGTTAGCATCTGAGCAAAGTCCGAGATAGCTCCTATCAGGCAGTGGCAGACATAAAACTGAGACATCCATCACTCCCAGCAGACACACCACGGCACGAGTTCTCCTCAGAGCGACTGTAGCAAAGCCCAAGATCGTGTCACCGGCAAAAGGAGAGACTGGACCGTTTAGTCATGGGGCTAAAGTGAACACGGCCATTAAAAACCATCACCTGTGTGCATGTTTAGCCTCCGATAATAACAGCAAAGGGAGGAAAGAAGAGGAATCACAGTTGTGTGTGTGAATAGATCTTGGAAGACCCAGCTGTCATCTCTGGAAAACAAAACAAAACAAAAATCCCAAAGAAAGAACACTGAGAAGCTGTGTTGGGCGTTAATGGTTAACATGCTGTTCTAGGCACATGGCGGGAGGGGAACCCCAGGTCTGACTGGGGTGGGGGTCACACGAACGTGAGGTGCATTCTCTTGGAGACCACTCTAATTCGTTCCACAAGCTGCTTGTCATGCTGTCTGCTAATGCTCCCTGGGCCTTCCTGGCGCGAAGTATGGGGCTTGGGCGAGCCAGCGGATTTCATCATGGTCCGTTTGGGTGGAGAAAGACTTGGTTCCAAAGTGAACATTTCCCGAATGACATACCCTGGTGGCTCAGATGCACTTCATTATTTTCTATTAACAATGGAAATAAATTTTAATCTCTTGCTGGCTAGTGCTGGCCTCCCGTGACAGCAAGGGAATTAACCTGAATTATTTCAGTGTCTGCAAAATTTATTACAAGATTTTAAATTATGTCCAAATGTATGTGCGGAACATGTGTGTCTATGCACACATATATAAGTTTTACTTCAAATTCTAGTTTTTCGTATTCCAAATATCTGAGGCTGTGAGGTACCTACAAGAGCCTGCCAGCTAAAGTGAACTTGCAAAATGTAAGGGATTTAATTCACAAACTCCACCACATGAAATCAGACATGTTGGGCTGCTGTTCCAGTACAGAGAGATGCTTGCTTGGACAGTGACTTTTAGATTCATTCCCTCCACTTCTGAAAGAAGCAACTACATTATGAAGGTGAAGATATATTTAGTTCCATCGAAGCTTCGAATTTAGCTTTCCTCACTGTTTTCTGATGAATGATGACAATGCTGATATTATTCTATTCAGAGAAGTTAAAATTACTGAATGTTTTAAGACTAAAGGAAGTGGAATGTGCATTCCAACATCATCTCACTCCCAGGCCTTCCCCTTCCACAAGCCAACTTCTTTCCCCTAGTGAGTATTTCCTGGGTCACGAAGGCTGACCCTTTCCATCTGGAATCAATCAGTCAACCCCTGACAACTTCCTGAAACACCTCACTCCATTTCCTGTTCTCTCCCCCTTCTCGCTTTCCCCCTGGTTTGCTTCACTCTTCAAAACTGCAGGCCACAGCAGCTTAATGTTAGAGGGTCAGGCACAGTTAGACTCCAAAACACTACACAAGGACACCTTTGACCTTCAAAAATCTTTACATCTTAGCTAAACAAATCAAGGTCAACATTTCTTACCATTACCTTGTTAACTATTTGTATGTATCTTTACCAATAGTCCTCTGGTCATGTAGCCATCAATACCACTTGTTCTCCTAAGATCATAAACTGATCTACTTGAAAAGTAGCAAATTTAGTGTGGATTAAAGGTGCCATTTCGAGGTACCTGCAACTAGAACTCGCTAGTGTAGTAACAGACATATGGAGGGGATTCCGTACAGAAGAACTTCTATGCCTCATCAATGTCTCCTGTCACCTAAACCTGATACCTCATCTTTTCCAAAGCTGTCAGACACTCTTGGCACTGCCATTCTGCTGGCACAGCCTAAAAGAATGCCAATTAGGAATACAGATGTCCATAATTTGTGAGGGATGGACCCCGGGTTTCGCTGCTGACACGAGTGACAACTTTCATTTATTTCTCATAGTTGATATATCTGCATTGCAGCTCAGAGCTCCAACGGCAAGCCCCGCAGATCCCAGTACTAAGTCATTGGAGGTGACAGCTCACCTCAACAGATACATTTCGATTCCACACAAAAGTGATGAGCAATTCATTCACAACGAGACAGATACCTTTAAGCTAAGTTTCCAAGAAAGGGGCACTGGGATCAATTGAAGTTGCTCACATTTTAAAAAGTGAAAGTGGTTTTTGCCAGTCTTTATTTTGTTTTGATTGTGGCCTCTCGCTTTTTTTTATGAAGCCAGCTCAATAAATACAGACTGACTGGGGAGTGACCACGATAGGTTTCGTTTTGCCTTTAACTATAAGGCAGTGTTTGCAGAAAGAGAAACCCATGTAAAACTTGAAAAGTACAAGAAAGTTTTGGAAAACACAATCTCTCAGATGTTAGTGGTCTGCTAAAGGGACTCGCGAAAACTGGACTGGCTTTCTCAAATTCTGTTCTTCATTATCCAAAAGTTCTCCCACATCTCTCACCCTAATAATTTATACAAAGCAGGAGCTGAGTTGTAAAGAGCTCTTTCCTGCTCATAAAAGGCCACTGTGGGAGGGACTCTTAGTGGACACATGCGTTAATCTGCTTGTATACTTAGTTTTCCAATAGTGTAGTGGCTTTTTTTCTGGTAACAGAATGAGGGAATGTGGTAGGGGACTCCTACTAAACTGACGTATGCCGCCCCTGGATAAGGTTTATGTCTAATGCTGAGATGTCTTTTGGCTTAAACATCACTTTGTGTGGTTGGTTTTATTTTTCTTGCTCAGAGTTCTAGCTGTATGATTTCGCTGAGTTACACAGCCAGAAGAATGGCCACCTCAGACCCTGATTTCTGTTTGCTTTCGTCAGCTCCTACCCAGGGATCCCTACAAAGACCCCAAGCCTCACACACGGAGGGTAACAGAAGTCAGCATGGAAAATTCGGGGAATGAC